TGGAGGGAGGAGAGGGAGTGGAGGGAGGGGAGGGAGTGTGTCCAACGGTCCAACATACTTTATCAAGTCATCATTCTTCAGATTATCATGGTCTCTGCGGAACTACCACCTCGCAACAAAACTGTAAGTCAGTCTACCGTAGCACGGGCCATCTGGTCACGGAAAAGAGTCCAGACAAAAAAAATTCGCTTTCAGCGCGACAGATTAGGCATACTACTTAACCTTGGTAGTCGACCAACCCATTACATATCAGAACGTTACTCTTTCTATGCCAACAGCTCTTGGCACAACCTCACCATAGACACAGTATCAACCTTCCGGTCTGAAAGGAATCAGACAACTTCGCCCACCTGGGGCGACCAAATTATACTTTCCGCATATATATGGATCAATACAGTTCAATCTCCTTTACTCAAAGAAATAATTGCATACACATTATATAATTTTTCTTAAAATACAAAAACAAGAAATCAATTCAAAGTTTGATAATATACAGTCAAGGCATGCTGGTCTCGTTATCTTCGCGCATGCGTTCCCCTTCACACATAGGGCGCACCCACATCCTGCATCATAACTCCACATGACACAACAATAAGTAATGTAAGTATGGTATCAATAGCCATCTGGTTACAGTTCTGGGTGAGAAGAGAAGCGTTGTCCACAGTCGCACGGCAGTCATCTTTAGGTGGAACGTTCTACCAACGACCATACAAAGTGTCATTTAAGGACAGATGTTTAAAGATCTGGAGACGATGATAGCTGGTGGTGTCGATCGTCCTTGCCTGGAGGGCTAAGTGCTTGATCGACGTCAGTTTGGGACTCCAGGTCGACCATTGAGACAACGACGTCGTCTGGCGAGTTACCTGCTCGTCTGCCAGAACTAACCTGCCTACTGAGCTCACATAGAACATTCTAGACTACATCCCTATAACACATAGAGTAGAATCACAGCAAGGAGAACTACCATGTCTATTTGACATCAAACCCAAGTGGAGAATTTCTGACCCTCTGTCGTAAACTTTCGTCTTATATAGTTTATCTACCCATTTGTCTCCTTCCTTTTTGTTTGGTCAGGGAGGGGATCAGATGGGGTAAAGTGGGCTGTTTGGTCAGGGAGGGGATCAGATGGGGGAAAGTCGGCTGTTTGGTCAGGGAGGGGATCAGATGGGGGAAAGTCGGCTGTTTGGTCAGGGAGGGGATCAGATGGGGGAAAGTGGGCTGTTTGGTCAGGGAGGGGATCAGATGGGGGAAAGTCGGCTGTTT